AAATCCCCACCCTGATATACACATGGAACACCCTGTTATTGCTCAGGAGGAAACATAAAACTTTCACATTAATCCCAATGGCACAAGAGTGTAACATTTATTGCAAGAGCATTTTATTTTTTGTTACAGAATGTCTCTCTGTACATAGTACTGTTTACATACACAAAAAAAAGTTTCCAGAAATCTGATCAGGAAACAATAAAAACCAGAATTCAAACAACAAAAAAACAATTATTTTTTTCCTCTTTTGCACACATCAAAAGAACAGCCGCGTTGCCCATGATAACGTGGCGGATTTCAGTCAGATACGGGCATCTTGAAACACACACTGATAATTATTTTTTTATCTCTGTGAAAAAAATCTAAAAAACATACATTTCTTTCCCCCCTCCCCAGTGATACAAACACGCTAAACCGCAATACCATTTTACAAGTGTTATTTTCTTCTTCCTCTGTAATACATAAATACTGAATAAACACCTATAAAAATAAACTCTTTTTTTCCAAGGCATTTTATAAAAAGTATAGTGGCTGCTTCCTATAAAACCACCTCCCTTCGTAGCACCAAATACAAAAGCAGCGACTGCAGCTCAAGATAATTCTAAGCTGAATAATAAAGAGGCTGGGAATATACATCTCAGGAGGGGAGACAGAGGGAGGGAGGACAAAGATTAAATGCAGCATAAAAAAAATTGTCAAAGAAGCAGAATGATACGAGAAAGTATCAAAATCACAGGCGGAAACTAAAGGGAGAGAATATACATCCAATATTCCTCACAATCACACACGTCCTCACATACACACGACTGCACACACATCCTCACATCAACGCCTTCATACATTCTCTTACATCCACACCCTCACACATACAGACACATCCTCACACACTCCCCAGTTGCTGTAGACATGGACAGTCCCAAGCTGTCACTTGCACATTGACTGCTGTGTTGTGTCACTGAGGTACTTCTGTTCATTATTATGATTGGACAGGCTTCAGACTAATTGGCGTTTCACCCACAAAATATACAGTCAATTTACTTTGCAGTGTATCCTGTGAATCGCTTTGAGAAGTCTCAACAATGTGATAAGACACTATATCAAATGCAAGGATTATTATTATTATTTGGATGATAAATGGGGGAGAAACAATTTCCATCGACTGGCAAGTTGATAACTGCCGAATTACTAGGACATGGAAAGCCCCACCCAAAATGGTGGTTAATGCACTCTTCTCAGTCTGCAACGCTGAGCTTAATAGATTCTCTCTAAACCCCCTCCCCGCCCACCCAGTGATGACATTTCACACACTCTGGCCAGTGCTTTCTGCCTCTGAACAGGTGTTACATGTCTCCCCTCGGAAACAAATGGATAAACTCTGAAACAAACGAGACAAAGATTCACACATACGTATGTATGTATGTATGTATGTATGTATGTATGTATGTATGTATGTATGTATGTATGTGACACACATGAAAAACCGTGGCGTCTCCCACTCTTCTGCTTAATTTACAACATTAACATCCAAGATTTTTTTTGCTCAAGTTTAACTTAACTGGTTAATCATGCCCGCTCGTACGCCTGTTTGCTCGCACACCTGCTCACTCATGAACCCACTCTCTCACAAACCCACATGCTCCCTCATTCAAACTCGCTCGCTCCCTCACAAATGCTCTCGTTCCCTCACTCACAGACCCGCTTTGCTTACTCACTCACAAATTATATAGAATTAAAGGATGCAGCTTCCTTGGCATTCAAGAGGGAAGGGGGTTAGAGAAAGAGATGGTGTCAAGTTGTGAAATTCTTAATACAACAAACAGTAGGTGGCACTGAAGGTGTAAGAGAGAGATTAAATCCCTGTTTCATTATCAGTGCCAGAGCTGGACAGATACAGCTTCCTGTAAAGATCAGAGCTAAGAAATAGCCAGTGACTGACCACGAGTCCTGGCCTGGAAGGGGTTTGAAAGAGAAAAAAATATATTTACAAATATATATATATTATAATACACACACACAGCTGTATATAAAACACTTAAAAAAATTCTACTGTCCTTTCGTTGCCCTGCTTCAAGTCTCCAAAATTACCGTAATTAACAGTTTAAATAGTGCAGAGACTGGGGAGGGAGGAGAGAGGCCTGGGCTGCCAAGACAGTGATGCCACCCCCTCTCCCCTCCCACACACACACACACATACACACATCCATTCACAGCCATACACGTGACCGCCTGTGAGTAATGTTACGTCCACGTGTGGACTAAGAGGCACAATAAACACGAGCGAGGTCCCTCCCACTTCCAAACCAGAGCTGACAATTTCCAGGAGTGAGAGAGGGTAATATTTCCCATAGTGTGAGCTGGGTTGGATCCTCAAGTTACCATTGCAAGTCATGGCTATAAGGTGCATTTATCACAGCAATGTATTCCCCCATTTTAAAAAAACCCTGAAATTAACATCCTGATTGTCTGAATAGGGTCCATCTTTTTAACACTATTAGTGTCCTGCTAAACCAGTCAGTGAAACACAACAAACTAAAGAGGTCCTCCCTTTCCTTTCCAACACACACAGCCCGTAACCAAATTTGAACTGGCCTCCAACCAATTTCCAAAGCCTTATTGCCTCAGGGTGGGGGGGGGGTGTGAGAGACACCCTGCATTTCCAGAGGAGAGGACAAGAAAGATTCTAGTTTCTCTTCCCTCTGTATCCATGTCCCCTGCCCAGAACCCCAAATTCAGGTGTGATTTCTGCTGGATGGGATGACCTGGGACAGCTGGGAGAGAGAGGGCGTCTCTTTTCTTCTCTCCCCTCCACAGACTGGAGCGTGCTGGACCGGGAGCCCAGTCTGTCATATGACACCAGCAACAGGTCACGCAAACCACAAGCCACATGTTTCTCCTAAACAATTTTCAATCATATACAGTACCTTTCCTGTAGGATGAACGTCTCAAAGTGCTTTGGAAAGACAATGCGGTATTGGGAGGGGCTAACAAAAAAGTAGGAAAGGAAATCGAAAGGGTTTGAGAGGAGGTGAAATGATACAGCAAAACTCCTGATAATGCATCACTCCAGGGAAAGGCCTCAGTGAAGAGTTACCGGGGGGGGGGGGGGGTCAAGTTACCAAGGGGACAGGTTACCCGGTGGGGGGCGCGGGTTACTGGGGCGGGGTTACTGGGGCGGGGATTATCGGGGCGGCGAGTTAGGCCTCTGTATAAATACATAAATAAATGCGTCCGGGATATTGACAGTGGGATGGCTTAAGTGGTTGTGACAAGTTAATCCAGGGTTGAGTTAACAGGAGTTTACTGTAGTTTGTTTTGAAAGCCAAGGCAGAAGGGTTTTCAGGAAAACCCAGAGTGGGGCAGAGTGGCCAGGAATGGAACAGAATAGAGCAGGAGGAGGACTGCAGAGAGTGGAGGGGCCATGAACACAAGAGGACTGCAGCCAGGTGGGGGGGGAGTGGTGGAGACCATGAAAGGATTTCAAGATGAGGACAATGATCTCTTGTAGGAAGGGAGGTAGGAAGGGACTTGCCTATGGGATGTTCGCAGCGAGGAATCCCAATCCCACTAAAAGGCCACTTTGTGACTTGACCGGTTAAAAAAAAAATCTGTGAGTTCACAGCAGCTCCCCACAATCTGCCATTTCTTGAGGGAACACTTCAGGGCTCTTCCCCACTGGCTCAGGCACAAAGCACTCTGGACTCATATAAGCTTCCCAGTGCCCCCACATCCCTTCATCTCTATCGCCCCCCCCCCCCAGCCCACCCCTACCCACCTTGATTAGGAACATGGGGTGTGGGGAGAGAGTGGGTCATTTCAAAAAGTGCAAACAAACGTACACGCACATAGACAAACAAACTGAGCTACACATTCTTAACACATTCTGGATCCTGAGTGATAGTTTGAGGAGTTTCTCTCTGGTGGGTTACAAGGGGGGGGGGTACTCAGTAACCTCCAATCAGTGACTTCCTTCATTTTGAACTGGGGGGAGCGGGAAGGAGTAATGTTGTAAAAGAAACTTCACAACATTAAAAGGAAAATGTTTCTCTTAACTTTCTCCCACACTCCACCCACCCACCCCACACATACACACACACACAGGTTCACACTCGACCTCTCTCTATTTGAAAGGCACTGACTGACTTTCACACACATTGTGGGGGTGGGGGGAGTAATTCTGGATTGTACCCTGGAGACACACGTACACACACCCATGAGTCAGGGGAAGAGAGACAAACAGAACGAGAGAGAAAAACAGAGAGAGAAATTATGTCCACACACATACACACACACACACCTTCTGGGAAGAGGGAAAAGAGGAGGGAGAAGCAATGAGAAAAGTAATACGACAACTTGCATTTATATAGCATCCTCCATGCCAGGTGGCATCCCAGACTGCTCAACAATGGTGGAGCTTAATGCCAGGGGGAGGGGGAAGGTGACCATAGGCACGCTCGAAGAGGAAGATCTTCAGGCGCAACCCAAAAATGGGAAAGAGGGGGCAAAAGGGATTGAGGGAGTTCCACAGCTTCGGGGCCTAGTGACTAAAGGCACGGCCGCCAATGGTGGAGCGGAGGACTCGAGGAACAAGGAGGAGGTTGGTACCAGTAGAGCAGAGGCAGGGGGTAGTGCTGTGAGGAGAGGAGGTTGAAGAGATAGGGGGGTGTCAAGGCATGGAGAAATCTAAACACTAGAGTAAGGATTTTGAAGTCGATCCATGAAAGGGAGTCAGTGGAGTTTGGCAAGGACTGGGGTAATCAGAGTGTGGAATTTAGTGTGGGTGAGAATGCAGACGGCAGAGTTTTGAATGAGTTGCATTTTGTGAATAGTGGAGGAGGAGAGACCAGCAAGGAGGGCGTTTTAGTCCAGCCAAGAGGTGACGAAGATGTGGACAAGGGTTTCAGCGGCTTGTAGAGTGAAGTACTGTCAGAGACGGGCAATGTGGCGGAGGTGGAGGAAAGCGATCCTGGTCCAGATGTGGAGGAGGAAGAATAACTGGGGATCGAACCTGATGCCTAAGTTGCACACGGGTTCAGAGAGTTTTAAGGACAGATCAGTTAAGTTGAGGAGGTTGGAACCACAGGACAGAAGACGCCGATGGGAGCCAAAGAGTATGGCTTCCATCTTGTTCATGTTTAACTGCATGAAATTTGGTTCATCCATCATGGGGGCAAAGGAATGATGGATGGGGGCCATGGTAGGAGCTGAGCGCGGGGTGGCGGGGGTGAAGGAGATGGAATGGTGTGGCAGGGTAGGAAATACCGGGCAGGAGGATGAGACTGCCAGGCCAGGATGTTGGCATTAGGAGACAGAAGACACTTGCAGTCTCTCTCCCACCGCCGCCTGAGTTTAAAACAACCTTCCCAAAGTCTGAATGATGACTACTTTCATAGGTGGACGAAAAGATGATTTGGGAGGGGGGCGGCGGAAAGAGTTGGTACATCAGCCTGAACTTACCTATGGTTTCATTTTATTCACCTCCTTTATTCCTTTCCCGCCCTCCCCCAGTTTGTTTCTCTAGTTTCACCTCAGCGCCCCCACCCAATGCCACCCTCACTACACCCAAAGTTAATTCACCCGCGGTTAAAAGTTGGAGCTGCAGAACCCTCAGCCAATCTCTCTCTCTCTACATCTTAAACAAGTGATAAGCATTGCTGTTCTCCTTTCCCAGGGATGGGGGGAGTGAGTTGGGAGGGTGGGGGTGGGGGAGTTAATCACCTCGTGGACAGTATTGCTCACACACACGCGCACACACTCACACTGTAGAATCGTCTTTGGCTGGAGGCATCGGCCACATTGCCCGAAGCCCAAGGTCATCTCGGAACTTGCTCCAATAACCTCAAGGGTTCTCAGGCCTTCTTCGAGACGCGATAAGAAACCTAAAAACGCTCCATCCATTCGCTCTGACTTTATAAAAATGAGGGGCGGGGGGTGCAGAAGGGGGGTATGGGGAAGGCAGAAAATAAATAAATATGGCGTTCAGTTCAGGTCTTTTTTTTTTAAAAATAGAAGCTGCTCTTTTCTCTGCCCAGGTCCAGGCCGGTGGTCAATCACTGGGCGGGAACTTGGGCGTAGTCTCCAGACTGGCCACCTGCAGCTCGGTCAGTCCCCCGGACACAGTCTGCTGACCGATCACTGCCATCTGCAACACATCAGCCATAGTTACTTGCTTTTGTCTGGTCATTCGCGCAACCGCATCACCATGCTTTACGTCTCCACACTAGACACAGGTTCACAAATGTATGTTTTCTGTGTGTTTGGAATGGAATGGGCGCTCTCCACCCAGAGGGACGGACACTGTTCACCTTCTTGAGAATTGGCTGCAGTCTAGGCTAGAGGACCACAGCCGTTATCCCCAGTGTGTGCGTTGGGATAACAGCTGGGGTTTGACCAACTGAAACCACCTAGCTTGCCATTAATACCACTGTCGAGCAAGATTCCCACCATTTGTCCAGCTAGGACCACCCTAACTGTTAGGGCTTTGGCTGGCAGGGTTAACAGGAGCTGAGTGGGATGGATTCCCTGCCTTCCAGGTCCCTGCCAATGGGCCAGGCTATGCTGTGCTGTCATCAGCAGTGGCAGTCTAGAGACTGTCACAGAGGGAGAGGAGAACGAGAAGGAAAGGAGGTTTTGAGGAGTGCAGGAATGTGCGGGATGGGGGATGAGGAAATGGGGAGAATGTCAGACAGATCCTGTGAGCCCTCGCCCCGCAGGAGGAAAAACAAAAGGAATGGTTTGAAGGGAGGATAAAAGCTTGCAGTAAATCTGTTCAGCCTGTGTGGTTAAGATGGACAAACATGAACGGTGGCTCTCACCCTCCCCACAGCATTAACATGAAGAAATGAACCCTCATTGACCTGTCCTGTGCAGCATCAGCAATGTTCTGAAGGGCTCTCTTCGTGCCATACCTGGTGTAGCTGGAGGGGGATTTGTACTGTGCCCGAGGGGGCCGTGAGGACAACTTGTGACACTCCTCCTGCAACAGAGAGAAAGGCATAGTCACCACACGGGGGCCCTCAGTCAGTCAGTCACCACACGGGAGCGGGGGGAGGAAGAGTGTTCATTCAGTCACTACACAGGGGGGATGGGGGGGGGGGACAGAGTTTAGTCAGTCACCACACCAGGAAGGGAAGGGGTCCGTCACCACATGGGAGGGGGGGGTGGGGGGGCAGGACACAAGGCCGACACTCGCTGCCCCCTGCACTTACCACCAGCCTGGAATCACGAAGCCCAAACAGCCCCTCACATGCAGACCCCACTGTTCCCAGGTCCGGGCTGCAGCAGACTTACCCTGCTCCTGCATCTGCCCGTGAGAGACCTGCATTCCTGAGGAGGCCGACGAGAAAGCGTTCAGGACGGTCAGGCCCCCGTCTGCCAGCCCCGGGCTGGACGTGGTGTACATGACCGTCCCGTGGGGGCTGGGGTACATCACGTGGCTCCCCAGAGTGGTGGGCACCGAGGACGTCACGATGGTCGCCGGCAATGTCACTGCAAAACAAAGAGCGCGACGGACAGACAGAGAGGACGACGGACAGACAGGCAGACCAGAGAGCGGACGTACAGACAGGCAGATAGACAGTGCGACGTACAGACAGGTAGACAGAGAACATGACGGACAGACAGACGGACAAAGAGGGCGATGGACAGACAGACAGAGAGGGCGACAGACAGGCAGCAGACGGACAGAGAGGGCGACAGACAGATGAACAGAGAGGGCAATGGACAGAGTGCGCGACAGACAGGGCGACGGACAGACATGCAAACAGTGAGCGCGACAGACAGAGAGGCAGACAAAGAGCGCAATGGGCAGACAGACAGAGAGTGCAACGCAGACAGACAGCGAGAGTGAATGACAGAAAAGAGGGAGATTAAGAGAGATTGCAGAGTGAGAGAGAAAAGAGGTGACAGGAAAAAAGGAACAGAGAAAAATAATCAATATATGGAAGGCAAACGGCACCACAGGCAAAGAAAATTTTAACAAATTAAAAATTTAAATAACCCTAAAATAATTATTGTATTACATACAGGGCCAATAATGTCAAAACATCTCAAATCACTTCACAGGTAATGTGTAAAATGCTGCAAAATGTATTGACTGTGTATTTGTACACAAACAACAGCCAACTTGCACGCGGAAAAGTCCCATGATGTGAATGACCAACCGCTCAGGGCACAGAGAGAAACATCCTTCTTTTTACCCCAATAGAGTTGTGGGATATTTAATGTCCACCTGATCAGGGCTTCACTATAATGTCCCATCTGAAAGGTGTGGAAGGTCTTAAGCTTTGTTCCCCCTGCACTGCGCGTCAGCCGAGAGGCTGAGCTCAAAGTGCTGAGAACCCACTATCTCGTTACTCAGAGACAAGAGCTTGGCCGAGCCACGCTGACCCAAGTGAGCTGAGGTGAGAGACTGTGTGGCATGTGACTCAGGCACCGACTGTGCCAGTGTATCCTAACTCTCAACACTGGACCCTCACTGAGCCCTGGCCTGACACCCCTGGTCTCTGGCAACCTGGCAAAGGGCACCGTGACCTGCTCAATGCTCCAGTAACAATAACAGGGATAAAGGAGGTATGCGAGGGGTAGTCTCCCCCCACACACACACACACACTCACAGGAGAATTCCATGCCCTTACTTGTCCCGCTGGTCGATGCCTGAGAGATTTCTGAGTTGCTGTCGCTGATGGTGACCGTCTGTTGCGTGGCTTGATGCACGCTGACCTGCCCTGAGGCCTGGTGGAGCTGTATCGCCTGAACTGGAACTTGCTGAGTCCCTAATTAACAGACACGCGCACATGTTAGACACAAAATACAGTAACAGACATACATATCCCGCTAAACGTGCAGAACAGAGTAACAGCCATGAACGTGCATTAGACATGCAAGATACATTAACAGTCAAGTACACCTTAGAAATGCAGAACACAATAACAGACGTGCATACATGTTAGACATGCAGAACACAGGAGCAGGCCATCCAGCCGCTCGAGCTTGTCTGCCATTCTATTAGGTCATGGCTGATCTGTACCTCCATTCCATTTACCCACCTTTACTACATATCCCTTGATACGCTGACCTCACAAATACCTCTCCACCTCAGTCTTGAAAATTTGAATTAATTCATCTCTGTATCTACCCTATCAAATCCCTTTATTATTTTAAACACCTCAATTAGATCACCCCTCAACCTTCAAACTCAAGGGAATACAAGCTACATTTATGCGACCTGTCCTCATAATTTAACCCTTTAAGCCCTGGTATCATTCTGGTGAATTGGCGCTATACCCCCTCCAGGGTCAATATAGCTTTCCTGAGGTGCGGTGCCCAAAACTGAACGCGGTACTCCAGATGGGGGCCTACCCTTGAGATAAAGGCCAATATTCTATTTGCCTTTTTGATTACTTTTTGTACCTTTGCTCCTCCACAGTTCCTAGTTTCTCACCATTAAGAAAATATTCCAATTTGTGTTTCTTGGATCATAGTGGATGAACTCCCACTTGTCCATATTGAACTCCATCTGCCATAGTTTGGCCCACTCACTTAATCTGTCTAAATCCCTTTGTAACTTTCTGCTCTCATCTACATCATTTAGTGTGCCTCCTAACTTCGTGTCATTTGTAAATTTGGATGTACAGCTCTCTATTCCTTCATTCAAGTCATTTATATACAGTATATGGTGAAAAGCTGAGGTCCCAGTACAGATCCCTGGGGAACACCACCTATCACATCCCACCAATCAGAGAACGTACCCTTTATCCCTGCTCTTTCCTGCCTCTCAACCAATTACCAAGCCTTGTCACAAGGTTACTTCTGATTCCATATGCTTTGAATTTTAGTAATAATTCCTGCCAAGGCACATGCACAAGTACCCAGATACATGCACGGGCACCCACGCACATGTACACAAACACAGGTACAAACACACGTAACCAAACGCATGCATACCCGAGCACACCCACAACCCGAGTTGCCCCCGAGTTGGAGAGGGACTCGCCTGCGATGGAGACGATCTGACCACCGCTGGTGGCTGGGAAACGAAAGACAGTTTGCTGCCCGGACTGTGACTGGCTGCTCAGCATCTGCCCCTGCTGCCCCTGCACAGTCAGAGAGTGCGGCTGTAACTGGCTGAGGGGAATGGTCGGTGTCCCCGGCAATGGTGTGCCTGTCCGAGAGAAACACAGTCACTAAGCGTGCCACACCTGGGGGTATGGAGACTGAGTGTGCTCAACCTGGGGGGATGGGGGGAGAGCAATCCCATTGATTGGAGATGCAGAAATAGACAAGGGGGATAGATACTTTAGGCAGGGACGGCCAACTTGTGGCCCGGGAGAGTATAGGCACCCACCAACATCCATAAACACACCCTCCCATTAACCCTCACATATACATTCACCCTCCCATATACACACACCCACACAGACACCCTTGCATATACACACATATCCTCCGATACACACACATGCTCCCTCTCAGACATCCACAACGTACACACACCCTCTCTCCCACCTCCCCCACAGCCTCTCTCTCTTACCTCCCACACACATACCCTCTCTCCCTTGCCCCCCCACCCCAACACATGCTCTCTCCCTTGCACCCCAACTCCCCCACACACCTCTGCCCTTGCCCCCCACCCCCCCTTCCCAATCACCCACCTGACATGAGGGTGAAGCCGCTAGGGAACTGCAACATGCTGCCTGAGCCAGTGCCGGAGGCCGAGGGTTTGAAGGTGGTACCGTTGCTGTTGGCGATGGCGGTGACAGGAGCCAGGTAGTTGGTGATGGGGAAGTTGTGGCCAGCGCTGACCTGCAGGTTGGTGGAAGTGTTGGAGGCCGACTGGTGTGTCCCCGTAGAGCCCGGCACATTGGCCACAGTGAAAGTGGTGGGCTTCAAACCGTCCTATTAGCAAGACACACAGAGAAAGGGAGAGCGAGAGAGAGGGGAGGGGGAAGAAAAATAATAGTATGCGTGAGAAAGACTGTTCCTTTTATTATCCCCCGCCCCATGTTCCATGAGCCAATCACCTGCATCCTCGCCCAGCTCCAAGGATCGAGTTCAAGATCCTCGAATCATTTAAAGCCCTCCAAAGTTTTGCCCCACACTACCTTACAAACCCACTCAATCCCTTCCACTTGTCAGGCACTGGTCTTCTTTACATCCCCCACCACCGGTGGTCGGACCTTCAATCTTTCTGCCTCTGGAACTTCATCCCAGAGTACCTCCACTTTGCCCCTTCTCTGACCTCCTTCAAAGCCAATCTCAAGACCTTCCTCTGTGACCGTGCCTTCGGTCATCCTCCCACCTCCACCCTCCTTAGTCCACACTCTTAAATCAAAACCTCAGCTTGGGCGCAAACCCTCGACTGTCCATTCCCTTGGGATGTCCTCCCGACGTGAAAGATGTTGTATAAATGCAATTTTTTGTTGAGTCAGGAGGTTGGTGTTGAAACTCCACATCCATCTGAACGGGCAGATAGGATCTCGGTTAAACATTGCATTCAAAGAATGTTGTCTCTGACAATGCAGTGCTCCCCACAGCCTAGACTGTGGCTTCAAATCCTGACATGGGGGTTTGAACCCACACAGTGACCCAGTGGCGAGAACATTACCGACTGTGCCCAGCTGAGACTCTGAGCTTAAATTCCCAAGAAAGCACTTCAAGCTCTCTTGCTCAATCCCAGGAAGATGTAGGACATCCTCCTGATCCTGTGCTCTTAAGACAAACTTGGTACAAAGAGTTCAGCTGCACTGCTGACTAGTGCCACTGGGTGGTGCCATGTGGTCATCCCTGAGCTCATCTGATCTGCATCTGCCTGTGATGGGAAACATTCAAGACTAATCTATTAAAAAGGGTGAAATGGTGACTTGGCTCAACACACCCATTATTCCCATTTTAAGGGGTGTTGAGACACAATTTAATAGACAAGGAACAATCCCCACGGGCTGAGTAGCCTCCTCCTGTTTGTGTACAACTATCCTCAGTTCATCTCTGATGAAGGATCGTGGACCCGAAACGTTGACTCACTTTCCTTTCTCCATAGATCTGCCTGATCTGCTGAGTTTTCCCAGCTCTCTCTGCTTTTGTTTCAGATTTTCAGCATCTGCAGTATTTTGTGTTTTGCTCAGTTTGTCTCTGTCCATCGCCCCTGGGCCCTCAGCCCCACAATAGGCCTTTGAGGTTACAGTCTAGGCTGACATTTCAGTGTATATGGCTCAGTCTGTAGTGCTCTCGCCTCTCAGTCAAGCCCCACGTCTGGACTTGGAACTCATATCATCTAAGATGACATTCCATGCAATGCTGGTGGAGCACCAAGTTGTTTGAAGTGCTGTCCGAGGTGAACCGAGGTGTTGAACCAGAGGCGAAAGCAATACCAACAGAGCCAGACAGCTTGGAGCATCGCTAGTGACCTGAGAAACCCCAAACTCATATTTCAAAGATAATTTCCTTCCTGATCACACAACAAACAAAAAACTGTATTTATATAGTGTAAGGGCAATGTCCCACACTTCCACAAAACAGATCCAGTGTGGCCAGCCCCGCTCCCTACCCCTCCCCCGCAAAATACGATCATCACCTGTCAGGGTCAGGCTTGATGTCCACAATATGGACAGTTGCGCGAGGGGGCTGTAGACTCAAGCTATAAACAGCTGCAATGTGATGGGGGTGACAGGTGGGCAGTGAGTCCACCCCCCACCCCCCCATTCCCCAGCAGAAAGTTAACCCTCACAGCACTGAGCTCGCACAAACGTTCACATCAAGCAACAAAACCTCTGGTTATTTCAACACAATCAAACACTATAAAAATACAGCCCTCCCACCCCCAGCCATACATGCAGCCCCCACACACAGACACACATGCACAAGTGTGAGAGATAGTGCATGTGTCATCTTGGGGGAGTGGGGGGGGGGGAGAAGAGAAGAATTGGGTGCAGACCCTCCCAACCCACAGTAACCCACCTAATGTTATCTGGCTCAGTTTCTCTGGGACCCAAAAACACGACTTGGAGCTCATAGTATTGGTCACTGCTCCAACACAGTGCTGAGAGAGGGGCGGGGGGGGGGGGGGGGGGTAAGAGAGTGCTGCATTGTCAGAGACATTGTCCTATAAGTGACTTTAAAACACTGAAGTTCTGCATGTTTGGGCAGACATTGAAGATCCTGCAATGCTTTAATAATAATAATTCTTGCTTTTGATAGCGCCTTATCATGTCGTTGAGACGTCTCAAAGCACTTCACAGAATATATTGTAAAGTGTAGTGACTGTGTAGTTTGTGAGCAAAACGCAGCAGCCAGTTGCGCATGGTAGTGTCCCACAAACAGCCATGAAATGAGCAACCAAATTTATTTGGGGGATTGTTGGCCAGGAGAGAGAAACTCCCTTCTCTTTTCGAATGGGCCATGGGATCTTTAATGTCCACCTGAACAGGCAGACAGGACCAGATGGGAAAGAGAGCTTCTCCCATGTCCGTGGGGAACTGTCCTCCAGATAAACCGATCTTTTACTTCATGGCTGTGTGCGGGACCATGCTGTGCACAAAATGTTTTCCACATTTGTCTACAGACAGTTGCTGCTCTCAGCAGTTTGAGATGTGAAGTGCTTCAAGGCATGGATAAGAAACACAATAAAAATGGTCACCTCTCCCCCCCCCCCTCGGCATTCCAACCCCAACACTTACGGTGCTCCGAGACATCACCCTGCATGAAGGGCCCTATATAAATAGGGGAGATGATGAGAATTTTTTTTCATGCAACAACTTCTTACAATCTAGAATGCACTGCTTGAGAGGTTGGTGGAAGCAGATTGAATAATAACTTTCAAAAGAGAATTGGATATATACTTGAAAAGAAAAAAAAATGCATGGGTGTGGGATAAGAGCAGGGAAGTGGGACTAGTTGGTAGCTCTTTCAAAAAGCCGGCACTGGCACGATGGGCTGAATGGCCTCCTTCTGTGCTGTAAGATTCTATGATTCTATGAAAAATGCAAGTTGTTATTGTAAAAATCAAAGACGTCTCTTTCGTCCTCCAGACCATTGCCTCGCCCACGGGGTTCTGGGGGTGTGACCCGCACTGTTTGAAAGGCGCCTACTTCAGCCTGTCCCGTTTCCCAGTTTGTCTGTCCCTTTGCCAGAAATCAGGAATTCACAGCTCTCCCGAGGACTAAAAAGGGAAGAAAGTCCTTGTTGTGCAGTGACAGCCAATGGCCTGTGCTGCTTGTGCAGCCGGAGCTTGCTCCCCCCCCACCCACCCGACACAGATAGCTTTCCCCGCCAGTCAGAATTAGAAGCAGCATGTGATAACCCTGCATAGCTGAGCACATTAACTTTCCATTATCTCAAAGCAAAGCACCCAACAACAAATAAACATCCACAACACAGAGGTGAGAGATAGAATAAGAGACACCCGAAAGAGAAAGATGGAGACAAACACAGAGAGGGAGAGAAAGAGAGAGAGAGACACACACAGTCAGAGAGAAACAGCGAGTGAGCGCCCGAGACAGCGGATGACGCAAATCACAGTCAGAGACTGAGTGATGGAGAGAATTGAGTGAGAGAGAGGGTTAGCAAGTGACAGAGAGAGACAGAGTGATGGAGGAAGACAGACAGCGATTGAGAGTGACAGGGAGAGTCATCGAGCAAGTGACGGGAGAGAGCGACAGGGTCAGAGACACAGCGAGAGAGAGAGCAAGGGAGACACAGTGAGTGAATGACAGGGAGAGAGACAGAGAGAAACAGTGAGAGAGAGACAGCAAGTGATGGAGAGAAAGATAGCATGTGACAGGGAGGAGAGTGACAGAGAAAAGGACGAGATCGCGACAGCAAGTGACAGAGCAAGAGAGACAGAGTGCGAACGACAGAGAGAGTGAGAAAGAGACACCCCTACCCCCTTTCCAAATCAGCCTGAGCTCCACCCACAGCGCCTGGCAACATTTAACAGCTGCAGCTTATAAGGAATGTGTCTGGGGCCCAGCCGAGCTCTCCGGCAAGGGAACCAGACCCTATATGGACACGGAGGCAGACTCCAGGTTTTTTTATCAATGAGTTGGAGAGCTTCAGCAACATTTCAGCAACATGACAGTGGTGCTGGTGGTGGGTTTTCTCTCTGTGCGCTGCCTGCAACAACACAAACCCGTTCAACCCAGCTCCCAATCCATCATCAATTCAGTTTGCAACTTTCCCTGCAATGACTTGCATTTCTATTGTAATAACACCATTTGATACAGTGCCTATATGTCAAAGCACTTCTCAGAAAATCGCTGTCAAGTCTAACGACTGTAACACACAGTAAAGCGCTGTTATCCGCACGCCAATTATCTGCATGTCTGTTTATCATAATCGTAATAATACAGCAGCTTTTAAAACATCTTGTGTCTCTGTCTCCCTAACTCTCTGACTCTCCACCCCCCTCCCGTGAAGTTACCCTCAACCGATGGTATCTTCAAGAGATGGTGAAGGGAGCACAAATCTGAATAAAGCACTAGGTAAAATATTTGCAATCCCTCTCTCGGGGTCACAGTGACTTGCAACATTTACTTCCCAGCAGGTTTCTGAGTGTTTTTTTTATATATAAAATAGTGCAGAGTATATATCAGAACACAATCTAATTCCCGACCTATCCAGACTTCATTGGACCTGCTCCACTGCAGAGCCAAATATCAGTGATCCCCACACACACACATATCTGCTTTCATGTCCTTGCCTCCAGAGCCTTCCATAGCCTTGCTCTTCCTAGCTGTGACCTGCAAACTCCATACCGACCTGTCCACACCGTCTGCTCAGCGAGCCCCACCATTGACAGTCAGGCCTTCAGCCCCTTTGCCCCTTCCTTTAGAACTCCATCCCAGTCCCTTCGACTCACCACCTCCCTTGCCTCTTTCCTTCAAGAACCATCTCAAGACCCTCCTTTTTGACCGCATCTTCGATCACCCTCCTACCCCCACCCTCCCTTCCCTCTACACCCCCTGATCTCAACCTCCAGCTCGGGTGCAAGTCCTTGACTGTCCAGCACTTTGGGATGTCCTTCCAATGTGAAAGGTGCTGTATGTTATACAAATAAATAATTTGTTGTTGTCGTTCATCTCCTCTTTTCCAACAACACATTGAGTGTGCTCAGGCTGGCCTGACCCTTACTTTCTCTGACAACCTGTCAGCTTTATGCTGACTCCCCTCAGTGTAAAAGAATAGTGCCTGGAGACTGCCCTGAGCTGCCTCAGCGTGGATTAGTCACTCGCGCTCTTGGTCAAAGGTTGTAGGTTCAAACCTCGCAATAGAGACTCTGAGCTGGAAAAGAGAAGGGAGTTTCTCACGGTGTCTTGGCCAACAATCCCCCAGTTTACAAGTAATCATTCTGTCATGTATTGGTTAGAGCATTCGCCTCACAAGCGAGAGGACCTGGGTGTGATTCCCGGGTGGGGCAAAACTTTAGGCAAGTTTCCTTACTCCACACGATTCTGTTTACCTAGCAATAAGTAGGAACCCGGTTGTTAGTCGATTGGCAGAGTCTGCGAGTAATAATCCTTCCAAAAAGGAAAAAATAAATTTGGTCACTCACTCCACGATTGTTTGTGGGACACTGCTGTGTGCAATTGGCTGCCACGTTTCACCCACAAAATACATTCAATCGACTTTACAGTGTATTCTGCGAAGTGCACTGAGACGCCTCAATGATGTGATAAGACTATATCAAATGCAAGGATTATTTTTATACATTATAATCGGTCATTCATTCTTCGGTTGTTTGTGATACGTTGCTTAATGGCTGCTGCATTCACTTAAAAAATACACAGCAACTACACTTGACAGCAATAGCCCATGAAGCACTTTGAAGTATCGTGACATTATAGATGTCAACTGAATTGTGAGGATCATTGTAAACAAACTCAGATCCAGAAAGTTGGTGAGATTTCCGGGTGTGAGACGAGCTCTCTCTGCAGATGAGCCTTTATATTATTTGGGTGGTGGGAGGATCCCTTAGTCCTTCCCTCCAACTTCTGTCTGCAAGGACAACCAACTGAGCCAGGCTGAGGGAGTGTGAGGTATTCCCTTCTCTTCACTCCCCTACCTGAAGTCACCTCTCCTAAGTCTCTCATATGAAAAGTGGTCATTTGGGGTGAGATTGTGATGGTGGTGTGTGTGTGGGGAGCACCAGTGAATGGCCCACCCCCAAGCAAGCCCTTACCTTGTTCTCCCCACTGCTGTCCGTTTCAGAGACTTGGTAGGTCAGGTCGGTCTCCTCAAAGCCAGTGGCACTCATACGCTGGTCGGTGGTGGGGTCTGAGCGGGGCGGAGAGTCGGGGGAATTGAGGCATGTTTGGATCAGAGCTTTCCCCGTCTCACTGGTGATCATGGGCTGCAGTTTCCGGGTGGCGAAGGTGTAAACGTGGCCGGTCTCACTGGCCACCAGCAACAGAACCTGCGTTCCCGTCAGGGTGGACAGCTCATATGCCTGGGGGGGGGGGGGGGGGGGGAAGACATGTAAAGAGATAGAATGAGAGACAGGCAAACAGAGAAAAAAAACAGAAACTCTCATTAGACAGAACAGAAAGATGCTGATTGCAAGAAAAGTCAGACTTATTAGACAGAACTTCTGTGACCAATTGTACATCACAGTGGGAGAGCGCAGTATTGTCAGAAGTGCCATCCTTCAGATGACAGATTAAACCAAGGTCTGCTTGTTCTTGTGGACGTTAAAGATCCTATGAAACTATTAGAAATAGGGAAGTGAGTTTCTCCCAGTGTCCTGGCAAATAATTCCCCAGATAAATCAATCATTCAGACAGCTCTTTGTTGGCACATTGCTGTCCGCAATTGGGTGTTGCAGACACCTACATAATAAAGTCTCCACTCTCGATAGCAACTACCACAAACCACTCAGACAGGCTAAAGTAATGTAAAACTTAAAGTTCTTTCATGTTATAATAATAATCCTTTCATTTGACTCGTGCAGTCCTGTAGCTCAGTGTTTAAAGCACTCGCTTTGCAAGCGAGAGACCTGAGTTCAATTCCAGGCCGAGCGAAACCTTGGGCAAGTTTCCTTACTCCACACAGAGCCTAATAATAATCCCTCCAAAACCAAAAACAATAAGAAATTGGTCATCTTCAATCTACGACTGTTTGTGGGACATTGCTGTGCGCAATTGGCTGCCGCGTTCGCCCACAAATATAGTTAATTCATTTTACAGTGTGTTCTGTGAAGCTCTTTGGGACGTCCTCCCGATGTGAAAAGCGCTATATCAAATGCAAGGATTATTATTATAGAGCTTTTCACATCTTCTAGATGTCTCAAAGCGGTTCACAGAATATGCTGTAAAGTGAATTGACTGTATATTTGTGGGCAAAAATATGTTGCATCAAATGTGTAAAACGCTGCTCCATGGGGGCCTCCCTTCCCTTCCTGGAGCTCTCTCTGCCCCATTGATACTCCAGTGAAGTAGACCCAATTACACTCAAAACAGCCCTGCTCTCTGGAACTCCTTCCCTAAATCCGACGTGATAAGCATTGATCCCGTGAAGTGCTATGGGATGCTACATTTTATAAAATCCTATGAAGCACTGAGATTTTTTAACATAAGGCGTATCAAATATAAGGATTACTATGTGCTTGTGTACACTCTCTGGAACTCCATGTATATATTTATACACTTACAAACATACATTTAGATATATATTATACAATATATGTATTATTTATACATGTGAATTTGTCTGTGTAAATATATATATTTGTGTGCATGTGTAACATGTATACAGGCCAACCCTCTACAACACATTTCAGATATAGTGAGGTTTGGCTTTACTGTGGACAGACATAATGCAGATGGATCACTCCCAGCATGGACCAGCCAGTGTGCTGTGCGCACAGCATTAAAGAAGGGACATCAGCCATAAACTGGATTTATGATATAATGTTGAGTTTATGGACCCAAACTACAATAGTGGTCGGACAGTATATTCATTCGTGTGTGCGCCCATGTGTGTGTACGTGTATGAATAAGCACAACAACTTGCATTTGCACAGTGCCTTCCATGCAGAAGGCTTCAAAAGTCTTCATTGATTCGAGTGCCCAAGCAGGTAGGGGAGCTGGCAGGGGAGAGGAGGCCCGTTCCCAAACAATGCCAGTTCTTACAGGCGGGTGTCTCGCTCTCTCTCTCACTTGAGAGCCTGTGGCTTCTTCCCAAGCCGAAAACATCAAAGGCTACAGCAAGAGCAGTTTGGACCAGCCTGAGGGTCTATCTCCATGTTCCACACAGAGAGATCGGCAATCTACAGGGAGTCCCTGCCTGAGCCGGGCCTCAAACCCTCTAATTGATCAACCCTCAGCTGCCGCCTGGTCCGAGCTCCACACCTCTCTTTCTCTCTATTCCATTCCATTTTTGCCTTTTTTTAAGAAAATGTAGTTTATCCAGCCGGGTATCTAACACATGCGGAAATCCATCACCATGCTCAAGAATATCCAAACCAACCCGGGAATTCCATGGAAATCCCAGAGAGATTATTGGAATGGAATGGGCACTCTATCCCTACGAAGTACAGTACATTTTACAGTAAATTCCAGTGAAGCACTCCTCCCGACGTGGAAAGGCGCTGTTCCAAATGTGAGGATCATCCTTTTTGTTTTCCTCTCTTCTCTTTCCTCTTCCTAAATTTTAATTTCACACAATAACATTTCACTTCATTTCCAAACAATCTTATTGTGTAAAGCACTTCAACAGGATGAGTTTTTTTTAAATAAACATGAAGGCTACCATATAAATCTAAATTATGATCCCCAGCCTGGCCCCGTGGCCTCCCACTGGCCTGTATTGAGGCATCAAAAACTGCCTGGAAAACATCACCTTGACTTCAACTTTTTGAGGCCAAGGTACCTGGGGGGTGGGGGGGCACTTTTAAAAAAAAAGCCTCTATATACCCCATAGCACGTTCATCTCTTAAGTGGGTTTGGTTCCCATCCGGGGTGAAACCTTAAGCAAGTTTCCTTACTCCACACACCTGTCCTGTAGCTCAGTGGTTAGAGCACTCGCTTTGCAAGTGAGAGACCTGAGTTCAATTCCAGGCAGAGGGCGAAACCTTGGGCAAGTTTCCTTACTCCACACAGAGCCTAATAATAATCCCTCCAAAACCAAAAACAATAATAAATTGGTCATTTTCAATCCACAACTGTTTGTGGGACATTGCTGTGCGCAATTGGCTGCCGCGTTCGCCCACATATATACAGTCAATTCACTTTACAGTATATTCTGTGAAGCGCTTTGGGACGTCCTCCCGACGTGAAAAGCTCTATATCAAATGCAAGGATTATTATTATTATTATTATTTACTCAGCAGTAAGTAGAAACCTGATTGTCATCCTAAAGGGCAGATTCAGGCAGCAGAACCAGAGGGTAGGCCCAGGGCAGAGAAGAGTTTTTTCTTTTCCCAGAGGGTAATTAAAGTCAATCAGGTTACGAGGAAGGGTGATTGGCCAGGGTCACTGGGACTCATTTAAAAAAAGCAGCTTGATAATATAGCATTTGGTATAGTGCTTTTCACGTCCTTGAGACGTCTCACACCCGTTCATAGAAAATATACAGGGCTCCTGCTTGCTGCTAGGTGATGGGTTTCCGCACATGTCAGACATCCAGCTGACAAAAAAAAATTCACCAAACCAATCTTGTAGCCATAACCTTCTGACACAGCGGGGAGAGCACTACCAACTGAGTTATCCTGCCATCCTGAATAAGGATCAGAATGAGGTAGGGATACCACAACTTTGACCCTATTCAGAAGGAAGCTGCAAGTCACACACCATAAACATAACCAGGAGTGTTAGCTTCCAACGTATGCGAATCACGCCCAAATCAACCTCTGCTTCCTCTCTTAATGCAGGTGCATTGACTTCCTAACTGCTTGCAGAATAATCCTTTCATTTGATATAGCGCCTAATCGCATAGTTGGAATGATTCAAAGCGCTTCACAGAACACACTGTAAAGTACATTGACTACATATTTTGTGGGCGAAACGCAGTAGCCAATTGCGCACAGTAGTGTCCCACAAACAATCATCGACTGAATGACCAAATTATTATTGATTTACTTTTAAAAGGGATTATTTCCCTCCAAAAGCAATCCACTAAGAGACTAACAACCGCCTCTTAGTGGATTGCTTTTGGAGGGAAATATATCCTTTTAAAAGTAAAACCGACATCCTATTTGTGGACAGCAACGTCACACTTTTCAGCATCTTTGCCACATCATCCAATCTCCATCTCACCCCTGACATACACAGAACTCATTGACACCTTCCCCATCTTCAAATGCCCTCCTCACCGGCCTCCCCACCTCCACCATCAACAAGCTTCAGCCCAGGTAAAACTGCACCGCTCACATCCTCACTCACATGAGAATCATCTCCATCATCCTCGCCTGATTCTACCCTCATCGTTCACAGCCATGAACCTTCCCACCTCTGATCTTCTCCAGCCTCTCACTCATTCTTCTTGCCTGTCCCTACCACTTAGCAAATTCACCCCCAGACCAATCCACACCGTCCCAGAAAACGCAGTGACTGAAGGAAAAAAACACACCTCCCACAATGTGTTAACACCAGCTAAAGTTAGCCGTTCACTTCATGACCGTTCATGGGGACAGTGTGGTTCGGTGCACACATTGGCTGCCGCGTTCGCTCACAAAATATACACAGTCACTATGTTTTAGTGAAGTGTTTGGAGACGTACGCCCGAAGTAACAAATACCGTTACCATAATTATTATTAATCTGGAACGTCGCAGGTTCAAATCAATCCCCGCTGTTTGCTGAGTTATTCATCATCTCAGCCAGGCTGGCTGGCGGACACAAAAGTGGCCTCAGAGAGCCAGCCGGCTGGGGCGGGGCGGCGGGGGTAAGTGAATTAAGTCAAGGTTCCCATTTCCAATCACTATTCAGAGCCTAAACAAGTGCAAATTGGTGATAACTCAGAACCCTTTTCAAACCTGAGAACAAGATTACAGCTAAATCTCACTCCATTAAACACACAGAGCTAAGTTTGCTCTGGTCTGCGATTGTTTGCGGGAGGAAAGAACCTCATATTCAGTTGTTAGCTCCCTGCCCAACGTAACATATGGCGGCAGGGGGAAAAGAGAGAAATAACTTGCATTTACTTACACCCATAAAAGGATGGAGGTGATTGTGGAGTCCCCATAATGTAGTGGTTAAAAGTGAGGATTCGGGTTCAATTCCTGGCCAGGGACAAAACTTAAACAAGTTTTGAAACTCCACGTGCCTCTGTTTGCCCAGCAGTAAGTAGGAACCTGATTTGTTAAGTCGATTGCCGGATCAATTTCCAGGAGTAATAATTTCCCCTCCTCTCTCCCCCACACAAAATCAAATTTAGTCATTGAATCCAAGACTGTTTGTGAGACACTGCTGTGCACAATTGGTTGCCGCATTTCACCCACAAAAACAACTTT